TGCATACAAAATACGGAGGAGAGCCAGGCGGAGGAGGAGATCGACAAGTGTGCATGATGGAGTGCCAGGTAGCGATGATGACATTGCATGGAGTAGGAGAGCCGCATGGATGAGGATATCGTACGGATGGAGCAGAGCCAGGCTGATGTATAGAGACAATGGAGGAGGAGAGCCTTTCGTATGATGATGAGAGCTGCGGCGCTGTGCGTGATCTGATGAAAGCGTGAGATGATGAAATTGTACGATGAGTGAGAGTCACGTGCAGCTTATGAGACAGGCGGAGTGAGGAGAAACGATATGCATGATGGTTGCAGAAGCGGATGATATTGTACGGAGGAGTTGTAGCTGCATGGATGAGCAGAGTCAGGCTGAGATTGAGGAGAGCTGTACGCCTGAGTGAGATGTACGATAAGGAGAGCCAGTACGCCAAAAACTTATGAAAGCCGTACGGCGATGACATTGCATGGATGATGAGTGCTCGTGACAGTGAGCAATGCGATGAGCCAGGCGGATGAGGAGTCGACATGTGTACATGATGAGCTGTATGATGATGAGCCGTACGGATGAGCGATATGGTACGTGCGTGGCCTGAGTTGCCGTATGATGAGGAGCCAGGGAGCGAGTGATCCGTAGCGGAGATGAGAGGGCATGGATGAGGAGTTCGTACGCCATGCGTACGGATGAAGAGCCGTATGGAGGAGGAGAATACGGAAACGATGAGGCGGTAGCCGTGCGGCCTGATGAGAGCCGCATGGAGGAGGAGAGCCAAGGAACGATGGTGCCGTACCGGAGCGAGGAGGTACCGTGTCGACAGGAGAAGTCGTTATGCACTATGTGAAGCGTGAGGGAAAGTTGTATGGAGTGAGAGCCGCATGGCGTTGTATGGAGTAGCCAGGCGATGAGGAGAGCCGCGTAGGTGATGAGAGATGTTGTATGGAATGAGGAGGAGTATGAGATGCTGTGGCTTATTGGTCTACGCAAGAGATGAGAGTCAGCCGTAGATGATGAGAAGCAAATGATGATGAGCCGCGCTTATTTATGAGCTGCGTTTATGTAGATATCGTGGCTATGGAGGAGGTAAGCTGGTACGCTCTGTGACACTGATGGTTGCATGGATGTAAAGAGCATATGCATGATGAGGAGCCGTACGTGCGAAGAAAGCTGTATGAATGAGGAGAGCCCATGCCAGTTGCATGGAGAGACCGAGGTGCTTATTGGTATTATTGTTTATTTATTAAGACGAGATGAGAGCCGTACGTGATGATGAGAGTCACGATGAGGAGTTGTACGCTCTGAGGAGAGAGCTGTTGCATGATGATGATTGCATGATGAGGAGTTTCTGTACACAAAAATGGAGGAGCCAGCATGATGAGGAGAAATGTCATGCAAAAGGAGATTGCAATGGTAACCGGAGAGCCGCATGGAGGACAGAGCTGTATGGATAGAGGACATTGCTATGGAGGAGGAGAGCTGTAATGGAGGAGGAGAGTCACAAAAGTATTGAGAACTGTATGTGAGTGAGGAGAGTCAGCATGAGTGAGGAGAGCCGTACGTCAAAAGTACGGAGAGCTGTACGATGAGGAGACGTGACAAGGAGCAATAGGTTGCACGGAGAAGATAAGTCTGCATAATAAGGGAGAGCTGTATGAGTGATGAGTTAGTATGTGATGGAAGCTTGCATGCCGAGCTGACGTGATGAAAGCCGTACGGAGGAGGAGAGCTATGGAGTGAGGGAGAGTGTGTATGGAGGAGAGCTACGGTAATGTGAGTGAGGAGATGCATGGAAGGAGATGGAGTGAGACAGTCAAATGGAGGAGAAACTGTGAAGAGTTGTATGGGTGAGGAGGAGCTGTATGGAGTGAAGCAGAGCTGTAGGAAGAATCTGATAGAGTGAGAGCTTGCAAGAGGAGAGTAGATACCGTGAAAGTGATGGAGACCCGAGTATGAGTGAGTATTGCATGGAGGAGAGATGAGGAGCTGTATGGAGGAGACGCCTGTGCGGAAAGGCTGTATGCTGTGAGGAGAGCCAAGGAGGAGAGCTGTATAGAAGTGAGCCAAAGGATGAGAGCTGTATGGAGTGAGGAAGAGTTGTATGAGGCTGAGTGTGTGTGGCACCGAGGAGGTTATGGAGTGAGAAGAGCCGGTCAGGAAGATGCTGGTATTGAAGCGAGGCCAGGTAGATGAGGAGAGCCAGTATGGAGTGGGAAGTTGTGGAGTGAGAGTGAGTGCTCGTGGGTTGTATGGAGTGAAGAAGAACTGGAGAAGGCTACATGAGTGAGAGCTGTATGCATGTGAGCTGTATGGAGGAGGAGAGCTGCATGATAGACATCGTGGGGTGACGAGAGTGATGACCGGATTATGTCAGGTGAGTGAGTGGAGCCCGTACATGAGGGTAGAGACGTTGTGGATAACTGGTGTGGAGTGTGCGGAAGTGGTGATCTGTGGTATTGGATGAATAGAAAGTTAACTGAGTCATGATGAGCTTAACTGAGAGTTGTGGTGTTATGTAGGTTAACTGAGTCAGAAGAAGTTGTGTGTTATATGAGTGAGGTCAGAAGATGAGCCAGGTGATGTAGCAGAAGAGGTAGAAAGTTATTATTATGGAGGAGACGCGTGAGAGTTATGTGTTATGGAGAGTAGGTTAACTGAGTCGCAGGAGTCAGAGAGTTGTTGTGTTATGTAGGATTGCATGTAGGTATGGAACTGGAGTCAGTAGAGAGTTGTGTGTGTTATGTAGGTTAACTGAGTGCATGTAGGTTAGCAGGAGAGAGTTGTGTGTGTTATGTAGTTGTTATGTAGGTTAACTGGAGTCAGAAGAGTTGTGTGTTATGTAGGTTAACTGAGAGGAGTGACGAGAGTTGTGTGTTATGTAGGTTAACTGAGTCAGAAGAGTTGTGTGTTATGTAGAGTTAACTGAGTCAGAAGTGTGTGAGTTATGTAGTTGTGTGTTATGTTAACTGGTGAGGTAGAAGTTGTGTGTTGTAGGTTAACTGGTGAGTGGAGCTGTGTGTTATGTAGGTTAACTGAGTCAGAAGGAGCTGTGTGTTATGTAGGTCAACTGTTATGGAGTCAGAAGAGTTGTGTGTTGTTATGTAGGTTAACTGAGTCCAGAAGAGTAGTGTGTTGTATGTAGGTTAACTGAGTCAGAAGAGTTGTGTGTTATGTAGGTTAACTGAGTCAGAAGAGTTGTGTGTTATGTAGGTTAACTGAGTCAGAAGAGTTGTGTGTTATGTAGGTTAACTGAGTCAGAAGAGTTGTGTGTTATGTAGGTTAACTGAGTCAGAAGAGTTGTGTGTTATGTAGGTTAACTGAGTGAAAGAGTTGTGTGTTATGTGTGTTATGTAGGTTAAGCTGTAGTGACTGAGTCAGGGTAAGAGTTGTGTGTTATGTAGGTTAACTGAGTGAGTAGAGTTGTGTGTTATGTAGGTTAACTGAGTGAGTAGAGTTGTGTGTTATGTAGGTTAACTGAGTGAGTAGAGTTGTGTGTTATGTAGGTTAACTGAGTCAGAAGAGTTGTGTGTTATGTAGGTTAACTGAGTGAGTAGAGTTGTGTGTTATGTAGGTTAACTGAGTGAAAGAGTTGTGTGTTATGTAGGTTAACTGAGTCAGTCAGAGTTGTGTGTTATGTGTTGTGTGTGTATGTAGGTTAACTGAGTGAGTAGAGTCAGAAAGAGTTGTGTGTTATGTAGGTTAACTGAGTCCAGAGTCAGAGAGTTGTGTGTTATGTAGGTTAACTGAGTCAGAAGAGTTGTGTGTTATGTAACTGAGTCAGTAAGAGTTGTGTGTTATGTAGGTTAACTGAGTTGAGTTGTGTGTTATGTAGGTTAACTGAGTGAGTAGAGTTGTGTGGTGTTATGTAGGTTAACTAGGAGTAGAGTTGTTGTGTGGAGTGAGTTAACTGAGTGCGGTGTATTATGAGGTGTGAGTAGGTTAACTGAGTAGTAGAAGAGTTGTGTGTTATGTAGAGTTAACTGTGAGAAGAGTGTGTATATTATGAGGGTGAGCTAGTAGAGTCATTAGAGTTGTGTGTTATGTAGAGTTAGACTGAGTTAACTGAGTCAGAAAAGTATATTATGAGGTTAACTGAGTAGAGTCGTAGTAGTTGTGTATGTAGGTTAACTGAGTTAGTAGAGTTGTATATTATGTAGGTTAACTGAGTGAGTAGAGTTGTGAGTATGTTATGTAGTTAACTGAGTTAGAAGAGTTGTGTGTTAGTGAGTTAGTAAGAGTAGTAAGTATGTATGTTGTTGAGTGAGTTAACTGAGTGGAAGTGGAGTTGTGTCAGAGAGATTGTAGAGTTAGTTGAGTTGTGTGTTAGCCGTAACTGTTATGAGGTGAGTGAGTAGAGTTATGTTGTGTGGTGAGTTAGAAGAGCTGTATGTTATGAGGGTGAGCCAGAGTAGAGTCGTATGTTGTGTGGAGTGAGTTTAGAAGCGGTATGTTATGAGTGGTGTATGTTGTAGAGTCATTATGTTGTGTTGTGTGAGTGAGTTAGAAGAAGCGTATATTATATGTTGTGAGGTCATTATGTTGAGGAAGTTAGAAGAGCCGTATAATGGAGTGAGCTGAGTAGAAGTGAGAAGATGATTATGAGGGTGAGAGTAGAGTATATATGTTGTGTGTTATGAGTGAGTTAGAAGAAGCGAGTATATTATGAGGGTGAGGATAATATGAGTAGAGTAAGTATGTTGTGTGGAGTGAGTTAGAAGAGCGGTATATTATGAGGGTGAGAGTAGAGTAGAGAGTTAGAAGATATATTGTGTGGAGTGAGTTAGAAGAGCGGTATATTATGAGGGTGAGCGAGTAGAGTAGTATGTTGTGTGGAGTGAGTTAGAAGTTATTATGAGGGTGAGCTGGAGTGAAGTGAGTTAGAAGAGCGGTATATTATGAGGGTGAGTGAGTAGAGTTGTGGAGTGTAGGAATTATGAGCGGTATAGTCGTATGTTGTGTGGAGTGGTCTACTTGCGGCCACTGAGGTAATGGGTCACCTATACACATACCTTTGCTACTTCCTTCGATGTTGTCACAAAGTTTGTCATTTCCATGTTATACATGTCGCTGCCCGTCACGACAGAAAGAGTTCGATCTTCCAGCGATCCATCTCCTCCTCCGCTCTGTAACGAATCTAGCAGTTTGGAATCCTGCAAGGAAAGCATATTTTTACTAACAAGGAGAAAACATTAATAGTATATACTTGTTTATTACGACTAATAAGAACTGTGCCCCATGTCATAGTGCCATAGATTCAGAATTCCTACAATATAATCTGGCCATGGAAAGCCACAATCCAGAACATCAAATGCTAAAATAAGGCATCAAATCTGAGAGCCACACATTCAGAACATCAAATGCTAAAATGAGGCATCATGTCAGAGAGCCACACATTCAGAACATTGAATGCTAAAATAAGGCATCAAATCTGAGCCACACATTCAGAACATTGAATGCTAAAATAAGGCATCATGTCAGAGAGCCACACATTCAGAACATTGAATGCTAAAATAAGGCATTATGTCAGAGAGCCACACAATCAGAACATTGAATGCTAAAATAAGGCATCAAATCTGAGTGCCACACATTCAGAACATCAAATGCTAAAATAAGGCATCATGTCAGAGAGCCACACATTCAGAACATCGAATGCTAAAATAAGGCATCAAATCTGAGTGCCACACATTCAGAACATTGAATGCTAAAATAAGGCATCATGTCAGAGAGCCACACATTCAGAACATCGAATGCTAAAATAAGGCATCATGTCAGAGAGCCACACATTCAGAAGATTGAATGCTAAAATAAGGCATCATGTCAGAGAGCCACACATTCAGAACATTGAATGCTAAAATAAGGCATCATGTCAGAGAGCCACACATTGAGAACATTGAATGCTAAAATAAGGCATCAAATCTGAGTGCCACACATTCAGAACATCAAATGCTAAAATGAGGCATCATGTCAGAGAGCCACACATTCAGAACATCGAATGCTAAAATAAGGCATCAAATCTGAGTGCCACACATTCAGAACATTGAATGCTAAAATAAGGCATCATGTCAGAGAGCCACACATTCAGAACATTGAATGCTAAAATAAGGCATCAAATCTGAGAGCCACACATTCAGAACATTGAATGCTAAAATAAGGCATCATGTCAGAGAGCCACACATTCAGAACATCAAATGCTAAAATAAGGCATCATGTCAGAGAGCCACACAATCAGAACATCGAATGCTAAAATAAGGCATCATGTCAGAGAGCCACACATTCAGAACATTGAATGCTAAAATAAGGCATCAAATCTGAGTGCCACACATTGAGAACATCGAATGCTAAAATAAGGGATCATGTCAGAGAGCCACACATTCAGAACATTGAATGCTAAAATAAGGCATCATGTCACAGAGCCACACATTCAGAACATATGTCAAGGCATCATGTCAGAGAGCCACACATTCAGAACATTGAATGCTAAAATAAGGCATCAAATCTGAGAGCCACACATTCAGAACATTGAATGCTAAAATAAGGCATCATGTCTGAGAGCCACACATTCAGAACATTGAATGCTAAAATAAGGCATCATGTCAGAGAGCCACACATCTCAGAGATTGAATGCTACACATTCAGAACATTGAATGCTAAAATAAGGCATCATGTCAGAGAGCCACATCATTCAGAACATTGAATGCTAAAATAAGGCATCATGTCAGAGAGCCACACATTCAGAACATTGAATGCTAAAATAAGGCATCATGTCAGAGAGCCACACATTCAGAACATTGAATGCTAAAATAAGGCATCATGTCAGAGAGCCACACATTCAGAAGATTGAATGCTAAAATAAGGCATCATGTCAGAGAGCCACACATTCAGAAGATTGAATGCTAAAATAAGGCATCATGTCAGAGAGCCACACATTCAGAACATTGAATGCTAAAATAAGGCATCATGTCAGAGAGCCACACATTCAGAACATCGAATGCTAAAATAAGGCATCATGTCAGAGAGCCACACATTCAGAACATTGAATGCTAAAATAAGGCATCATGTCATAGTGCAACACATTCAGAACATTGAATGCTAAAATAAGGCATCATGTCAGAGAGCCACACATTCAGAACATTGAATGCTAAAATAAGGCATCATGTCAGAGAGCCACACATTCAGAACATTGAATGCTAAAATAAGGCATCATGTCAGAGAGCCACACATTCAGAACATTGAATGCTAAAATAAGGCATCATGTCAGAGAGCCACACATTCAGAACATTGAATGCTAAAATAAGGCATCAAATCTGAGTGCCACACATTCAGAACATTGAATGCTAAAATGAGGCATCATGTCAGAGAGCCACACATTCAGAACATTGAATGCTAAAATAAGGCATCATGTCAGAGAGCCACACATTCAGAACATCGAATGCTAAAATAAGGCATCATGTCAGAGAGCCACACATTCAGAACATCGAATGCTAAAATAAGGCATCATGTCATAGTGCAACACATTCAGAACATCGAATGTTAAAATGAGGCATCATGTCGGAGTACCCCACCTTGAGATCATATGTAAGTATACACGCACACACAGCTTACAACACTCCATAATTATCATTCACATAAACAGGAAATTTCTTGTGGCAGAAATTCTGTAGATATCTCATTTACATCACAATCATTGAAGAACTGTTTCAAGAAAACATATTTAAAACGGAACAGACTGAAACCTTGTTTCTGTGCAATGCTTTGAATATCATGCTCTTACTACCAAAAAATCATCTGTAAGATGTGCTTGTTTATGTGAGTTAGCTTGACGAGGTCGCATGAAGTGAGCATGTAGAATGTTGACCAAATGCTCTGAGCACCATTATGCAAGCACCATATGCAAGGCATTGACGGCCCAGAAGGGCTGCCTGACCTCTCGGCTTCATGGTGATCGATCAGTTACAGGGTTAGCTTACATCAGTGTGCAATACAAGCCGCAGAGCACAATCTCTCAATTCTAATGAGACCACTTTAGTCTTTAATGTAGATGTATAGGTCTTGATGCACGTTACCAACGCAGCGATCATGTTGAATAATAATAGTATTACCATACCTTACAATTTCACTATTCAATGTGATGTTCATCGTGATAAATATCTCAATATGCTGATTGGGGCTATTGATAGTCACCTTAAATGTGCTATCACTGCGAAATATAATTACCCGAAGTTTACATCAATTCAGACTGACTCTGGTACACCTGAAAACACTCAGTTCAACAACTCACTTTTCCCCCTAATACACCATACATAAGGGGTGACCATTTGATATTTGTGGTGTTATCGTTAAGAAACAATTTTGATTCGAGAGCACTTTGGATGTCCTGGACAAATGCGGTAGTGGAAGAAATTGATTTGTTCCAGATCCTCTTTTCACTGAATACCTGTGTCCTTCCTCCCCATCCAGCAGCTGTCAGAAATATATCACATTTTATATGATGGTCTGTAAATATTTAAATCTCTACGGTAAAGCAGTCATCTCCCTCTGAGGGCAAGAGGACACACGAGATTGCCATTCCCGCAGCATGTCCACCTGACGTGATTAAACATCTCTTACTGGAACTGGGTACCCATAAGGTCGCTGTAGCTAGAAGCATGTAGCTAGAAGCATTTAGCTACGTATATGAACAATAGCAGGAGCTGAAAAGTACACCTTGGGACACACGTAGGAATGTAGGCAATCGTTTAGCACCTAAATTAGAAAGGTGAAAACCTTGATACAGAACATGAAGAGTTTCCCGAAATTTCAGTAGGCAAACTCCTGCATATTCATCGTCCCAACTTGACAAGAAACACTACAATAAGGAACTTTATGAGACAGTTTACTGGTCGATCAGGCAGGTAGACTGAATGTAAATCTTTAATATCCTTCAAACTTTTTCATCACAACCCACCCGTCAGAGGATCTCTTGACATAATTCCGAAACACCATGCTACAATGTTTTTCCACACACTTCCAAAGATTTGCTCAATAACACTGTACACCTTGTCAAACGCTCCAAAGATTTGCTCAATAACACTGTACACCTTGTCAAACGCTCCAAAGGTTTGTTCAATAACACTGTACACCTTGTCAAATGCTCCAAAGGTTTGCTAAATAACAGGGTACACCTTGTCAAATGCTCCAAAGGTTTGCTCAATAACACTGTACACCTTGTCAAACGCTCCAAAGGTTTGTTCAATAACACTGTACACCTTGTCAAATGCTCCAAAGGTTTGCTAAATAACACTGTACACCTTGTCAAATGCTCCAAAGGTTTGCTCAATAACAGGGTACACCTTGTCAAACGCTCCAAAGGTTTGTTCAATAACACTGTACACCTTGTCAAATGCTCCAAAGGTTTGCTAAATAACACTGTACACCTTGTCAAATGCTCCAAAGGTTTGCTCAGTAACACTGTACACCTTGTCAAACGCTCCAAAGGTTTGTTCAGTAACACTGTACACCTTGTCAAACGCTCCAAAGGTTTGTTCAGTAACACTGTACACCTTGTCAAATGCTCCAAAGGTTTGTTCAGTAACACTGTACACCTTGTCAAATGCTCCAAAGGTTTGCTCAATAACACTGTACACCTTGTCAAACGCTCCAAAGGTTTGTTCAGTAACACTGTACACCTTGTCAAACGCTCCAAAGGTTTGTTCAGTAACACTGTACACCTTGTCAAACACTCCAAAAGCCATCATCAAATACAGCAGTTACATTTAAATTTCAAAACTATTGGGAATGGCTTCAAAATGTTTTATTGGTATGACAGTTGTATGGAGGACGTAACCATCTGACCCTTGTTCATATATGTCATGGCTGCCAATACTCGCCTGGTTATCCATTTATATGGAAATTCAGGTGGAAACCTAATGGAAGAATTGATGCAGCTATTCCTTTAATGGCTCAGTAATCACATTATGAACACCCTAGCCTGCTATACATATGCACAATATGAGGGAATCGCCTAATAAAACAAGAAATTAGTTGGGCCAAAATTGCTCCCCCTCGTAACATACACAGATCCATTACGCCTGCGGAAAAACCTATTTTCATGGAAATTAAATTGAATTTTGTTCAGCTTAAGTCTTAGCTGTGTCCAAACTGTGCTGGGTCC